CCTTTATTAGATATGCAAACTACTAAACTCATATAGGTCTCTTATATGAGGGTCAAGGAGCAACAGTGAGAATTGGACACGGAACTACTGATAGGTTCAAAATTGGGAAAGGTGTCCAGCATTCAGCTGTAAACTGTTGCCCTGCCTATTTAACTTATATGCAGAGCACATCATGAGAAAGGCAGGGCTAGATGAATCAAAAGTTGGAATGAAGATTGCCGGGAGAAATATCAACAACCTCAGATATGCAGATGATACCACTCTAATAGCAGAAAGTGAAGAGGAATTAAAGAGCTTCTTGCTGCAGGTGAAGGAGAGTGCAAAAGTTGGCTTGAAACTCAACGTTAAGAAAACTGAGATCATGGCATCGGCCCTCTCAATTCCTGGCAAATAGAACGGTAAGAAATGGAGGTAGTGACAGATTTTATTTTCCTGGGCTCCAAGATCACCGCAGATGGGGACTGCAGCCAAGAAATTAAAAGAGGCTTGCTCCTGGGGAGGAAAGCTAAGGCAAATCTAGACAGCACACTAAAAAGCAGAGGCATCCTCCTGCCAAAAAAAGTGCATATAGTCAAGGCTATGGTTTTTCCAGTTGCAATGTTTGCCTGTGACAGTTGGACCACAAGGAAGGCTGAGCGCCAAAGAATTGAGGCCTTTGAACTCTGGTGCTGGAGAAGACTCCGGCGAGTCCCTTGGACTGCAAGGCCATCCAACCGGTCAGTCCTAGAGGAGATCAACCCTGACTGCTCTTCAGAAGGCCAGATTCTGAAGATGAAACTCAAAGACTTCGGCCATCTCATGAGAAGGAAGGACTCCCTGAAGAAGAAAACACTATTTGCACTAATGCTGGGAAAGATTCAGGGCAATAGAAGAAGGGGAGGACAGAGAACGAGGGGGCTGGATGGAGTCACTTGAAGCAGTTGGCGTGAGCTTAAATGGACACCAGAAGATGGTAGAGGATAGGAAGGCTTGGAGGAATGTTGTCCATGGGGTCACGATGGGTCGGACACGACTTCGCAACTAACAACAACAACAAAACTCACCGCCGAGCTTTGTGTGACAGTTCCTCCCAACAATACCCCCAAATTTGCTGCCAATACCATATATAAATTTGACAGAAATGAGAAAGTCGTAAGTTACTGCTTGGATACTGATCTTCCAATGCACACGCCCAGGAGAATGCAGGTTTCTGGTAGCAGATCGAGCTGTTTGGGGAATCTCTTTCTGGAATTCTGCCTAAACTGTATAAACTACCAATTGTAACACAAGGCAATGTTTACCTGCTCTGATGTGGGTGTATGGAAATATTGCTTCCTTGATCTATTGTGTTGCTAAATTTCAGTTATTTTCCCTCTTAGCTAAAGAAGAACCAAAAGGATTTGCAGAACACATACCCAATGCGATGATGATAACTTGTGGGTGTTCAGCAGCCAAATTCTTCAGGTCCTGAAAGGAAAAAACCCACAAACTTAGCTCCTTTATAGATAGCTATGGCAAATATGTTTCGACTAATTGTTTCCAGAATTGCCTTCATGAGAGGCAATTCTGATAAACAGTGTCCATTGTGTCGCAAAGGCTCAGAACCGAGTGAAGAACTAAAAAGAACCACAAGACTTTTACAGGGAGGGCAGGGATAGCAGGAGCTTTCTAAGTTGGCTCTGAACAAAAAGTCCTTAGCCCAGAGCAGCACATTTTGCAAGTGGCTTATTTGAAACAGGATAACAATTAAAAACAAAATGTGATGAAATTCCACACGGGCTGTTAAGATTTACAAATCTCTCTCTCTCTATCGTGTCTAATCATGCCTGCACCATTACTACCTAGGAGATAAGCGAATTTCCATTACAGAAAAAAAAAAATCTTTGTTCTTCCCACATAAAGTTGAAGGTACCCCAGGCCTCACCTGAGCACGGGGTCCAGCCGGGTCCCGGCAAGTTGCAAAGATCCATTTTGGAGGGTTGCTCCTTTTTGCCAGCTGCCTGACCAGCTCCAAGCCGAGTCCTCGATTGGAACCAGTCACCAGAACGCTCTGCGGATTCAGTTGTTCCATCTCTCTTGCCAGACGAGGCCAACTAAGAAATCGCTCTGTGCACTTCCTTAAATATTACCGCAACTGGGTTCATTGCCAGTCCTTCCACCCACGTTATTTGACTTGCAAATAATATGCCTGAAGAAAATTAGAAGGGAGGAAATTGGCAAGCACTGCCAGGGTTTTTGCCCAATCTTGCAGTAGGTTTTTTTGTTTTCTTTCTTTTTTTCCCTTTTTCCCCTTCTGCGCAGCTGTTTCTCTTTTGCTATGTTCAGTGGGCATGTTTTTATTTGAAGAACATCTTCTGTGTTTTCTCCCCTGAAGAAAAGCAACCAAACCCATCAAACCCAAGATAATTTTAGCCTGATGTCTGAATGCTCAATGCTTTGTGGGTTAAAATAACATCTATTCTCAGATACAGATAGGTAATTTGGAATATAGGTAGATGATAGATAGATAGATAGATAGATAGATAGATAGATAGATAGATAGAT